GGGGGAGGGGCCGAGGAGAGGCCAGAGCACCCCAGGTGGCTGCCCACCTCGGGGCCGCTTCGCCCAGCACGGGCCCGCCCTGGAGGCTGCACCTGCCGAGGGCTCTAGTCACTGCAAGTCTGGTTGGCGGGCTGGAGGCGGCTTCCCCTCGGAGCCAGGTCCTCCTCCCGTGGCCATGCGGAGCGGAAACCGGGCAGAGCGCCGCGCAGGCGGGTGGACGGAGGCAGGGCGGTGGGCAGGGCCTCCCGCCGGGCAGCCGCAGCAGCAGGAGAGGAGAGGGCAGGTCCACGCAGCTGCCTTCCGTGGCCCGGTGTCCGGCGCGGAGCCCAGAGGACGGCCTCGTGGAGGTGACATGTTAACTTTTCGGGATAATTCCTGGTATCAGAGCGGAAACAGTGACTTTGTCAGAGACGGGCAGAGAGAGAAACAGCGAGAGAAAGAGAGAGCAGGCACGGGCAGGCCGGCCACAGGCCCCGGCCCGGTGCCCCCTTTCCTTTCCTCCCCGGCTTCGCAACAGTCTAGGTGGACAGGTGGGCATGGCCCCGGGTCCACGCAGGGCAGGCGGCGGGCAGGTGGCGCAGGCGGCCTCGGTGGCCACTGTCAGGGCCGTGCTGTGGGGGGGGGGCTATGTGTCTAAGGCTGCTCGCGGCGGGCGGCGGGTGGCCCCGTCTTGGCCGTGTCCTTGCCCGTTGGGTGCTCGGCGTCCCCTCCAGGGCCAGGGCCAGCGGCCACCGAGTCACCGGGTGGACTGTGGGCACTCCGCTTGGCGGGCGTGCTGGGGGCCGGGGCCGCCTGCCCGGTCTTCTCGTCTGAAAAAAGTTGTTTAATTACGTCAAAGAAGTTACTCAATGGGCTGCCTGGGTACACAGAACAGAAGACAAGAGAAAAGAAGGGGCGAGAGAGAGGAGGGGAGGGAAGGAGAGAGAACAAACGCGTGAACACCAGGGCCTCGCGAGAGAAACCCAAGGAAAGGCAAGACGGGCATGGGGCGGGGACAGGCCACAGCAAGCGGGTGGGCAGGCGGCGGCCAAGGGCCCTCTGTGCCGGGTGGTGGGAAGGGCTGGGGGGTGGGGACCAGAGATGGGACCTCTCGGCCCCTGAGCTGCAGGGCGGGAACCCAGGGCAGGCGGGGAGACCCTGCCTCCCTCCCCAGGCCTGGCCCTGCGGCGCGGCCCTCCCCTCCCCGCGGCCGCACACTGAGCTCAGACCCGTCACGGGGCCTCCCCTCATCTGCCCGTGGCCTCGCTGGCTGGCCGGCCCACTGCATTCAGAGCCATAGAGATGGGCCTGCCGCAGCCCAGGGCTGAGCAGGACCCTGGGAGGGGCGCTGGCTCTCGGCATGAGGCCAGGGGCCTGCTCTGGGTGGGGAGGCTGGAGCCTGCCCCACTCCTCCCCTGGCCAGCCCAGGCCACCCAGTGTGGACACAGCAGACAGACAGATGGACGGATAGGTGGACAGGCATGGAGAGCTTGGGTGTGGGAGGGCGGGGAGCACGCAGCTAGAGTGGGGAGTGTCCTGAGGTCAGGAGGAAGGGGCGGGGACGGGATGACCACCCCAGTGTGGGCCCTGTGCTCACTGTCCAGGTGCACCTTTGCTCTAGTTCCTAAACCTGAGCCCTGCCTGTGCCCAGAGATGCGGCCCCTCCTCTCCCTGCCCGGTACAGTGGGGAGGGGCATGCCCGTGTGGCCGGGGAGCCCACAGGCCGGCACCCTGCCAGTGGACACACGGCCTGAGGCCAGCCTGCTTTGGATGAGAGTCCACTGGGACCCCATGTGCGACCCTCACTGGTCTCAGGCACGCTCTGAGCATGGGGTCCCTCTCTGGCCTGCCCTGACCCTAGGGCCTGGCCTGTGGCTGCCCTGGCGGGGGGGTGACCAGGCGCTTCTGGCAGAAGCAGGAGGCTTGGGCGTGCAGGGGCCTACACTGGGTCCCGTGTGTGTGTGTGTGTGTGTGTGTGTGTGTGTGTGTCCCGGCCCCAAGCTACACAGCGACCCCAGGACAGCCCCAGGGCGGCAGGGGCAGCACCCAGCCCAGAGCGAGTTGCAGGTGGGGTGACAGGCTGGAGCCCGGCGATGGGGAGGGGTTCTTACCACACTTGGAAAGTCTCCCCGTCATCATCTCCACACAGTTAGTGGTGTCTGGAGCACAGAACGGAGGGAGAGAGGGGGAGACGCGTGAACAAGCTTCCCACCAGGACCTCAGGGAGCGGAGCCCAGGCTCAGGCAGGGGGCGGAGCCTGGAGGGGTGGAGCTCGGAGGGGCGGGGCATGGAGGGGCGGAGCCTGGAGGGTGGGGCTCAG